GTTGTAATAGAAGTATTACAAAGACGTGCACAACACACACACACACACACACAACACCAATATAACTTTGCCTCAACAATCTTGATGAGTTCCCATTGCTTTTGAATTATTGCTTTTTTCCTCAGGAAATTGCTATGAAATGGGTAAATAGTTAATGCCCATCGAACACGAAACGCCACAAGTGATACACTATTCTTTTTGCAATTAACAAAATATTTTTAATCGCTAAAATATTAAGTTTAATTTTTAAAAAATAATAATAATTGGCATACAAAATTATTATGTGAGACTAAAGATTTTATAAAATTGGCAATTAACAAAATATACTTCTTTTTGTTTTTTTAACCATTTCCTGGCCGAGTGAACCTGAAAATATTTCCCAGTATGTGTTCTAATGTGTGTGTCTGTTTATGTGTGTGTGTGTATGTGATACTCCAATAAAGTTGATCGATTTCATTGCCAAAAAAGAAATGTAAATTCTCAAATAGTCCTCCCATCCTAAATATAAAATATATTTTATAGTATAATTTACATCACAAGATGGGTCTTATATTTAAAACCAGAGGAATATATACTTTGAATTCTAAATTGTAGAGGGGAAAAGACTATGAGGTCTGAATGCAAATACTAAAATTTGTATTTATCTGAGAAGGAATATTGGGGGAAATCATATATGTATCATGAAATTTGTAATACTATTAACAAATTCGGCATAACAGCTAACAATATGTTGTCCAGAAAATTTAAAAGGTAACATTTTTACAACTTTAATAACGCGGTTAACAAATTTTATAATGATATTAATACAAAATAATTTATTAAATATGAAATTTAATTTTGTTTACTTAAATATTATCCTCTTACTGTTAGACGTTAAAATGTTCATTTTGAACGAATTTTAATTATTTAATTAAATTGAACCGCTTGATTTTGTTAAGAATATTTGTTCCTTTGGAATCCAAACCAACCATTCTAAAATAGAAATCTCGTACTTCTTAAATAAATAATTAATATCTATATTGTATTGTTTTTGTGCTTTTCCAAATGAAATTATATTATATAATTTTGACCCTGATTTTGTTTTTCATATGTAATTTTGTTCTAATCTTTCAGTGAAGTAATTTTACTCCTGATTTTATTTTTTAAGTGTAATTTTATTTCTGATCTTTTTTTTCACGTGCAATTTTACCTATGATTTTTTAGGGTTAAAATAGTATCTTAAGCCTTGTTGTTTTCTTCATCACCATTAAACAAAATTCTTTCAACTTTTTCAAGTCTTCCAGCTTTCTTTCCGACGTCTTTGCCGCAGATAACAGCCTATCACTTTATTCAAAGAGTACAAAGTCTTCGTGTTCAGTTCCTCTGGAATTGCAGATTCATACTTAATTCTACTCTGTGATTAATGGAACTCACAGAGGAGCGTCCCTTCTTATCTGCTTCTGTGAAATTGCATCAATTAAAGTTGGAGAATGCTTTTACGGTCTTTCCATTTTTTCGTTTTTTTTCAAGCAACTCCACTACTTTCCAACTACACTTCTTTCAACTTCTATATATAAATCATGTCTAACCGTCTAACTAAAATTAAGATGAGAAATTTAAATGATGGCAAAAGTTTTTATTCTTTTTTAACTTTACACAAGGTTTCATTTTGATGATTTAATTTTATAAAATATTTTTTAATCTTTTAACTCTAACACAGCTAGTTTTATCAACAAAAAATACCCACATTAAAATTTTAGTAGTTGACAAAACATTCACAGATGCTGATGTATTAAATTTGATTTCTTAAAATTACAATGATTGGCACAAAAATATCATTATTTAAGATTAATTTTGTTAGAGTCAAGAATTGGGAAAAATATTTTATAAAATTAAAAAACAAAAATGAAATTTTGTATAAAGTTAAAAAATCAATCTGCATTTTTGCCTTGAATCATTAACTATTTTGTGAATGAAAATTTTTCAAATCCTTAGAATTGAAAAGATAATAAATACTCTCTTATGCCTTACAAAAATCGTCGTCCATGTCAAGTCCTTCTCAACTTTTCCCCCTCAAGTCTTTGCCCGTGAAATAAATGCCCAACGGAGTCATTATACATAATCATCAAGTTTTACGACTTTTTTTTTTTTTGCCGCAATTCTTCTTTGCTTGTATAAAACGTGGAGTAGTCATCAATATTACAAATATTTATCTTTGAAATAAATACTCATATCTTACTGTTTGTTTTTTTCACTTGTTCACATGTTCTCTGTTTGTTCTGTCTCTTCCCCTGTTTGAGCCCCATTCCCCCAACGTGCGTTTTAATGTGTATATATATTTTTTAGCACTTCAATATAGTTGATCGTTTTCATTAAAAAAAAAAAAGAATGTAAATTCCGAAATGTAGACTTTGAAGTCTAAATCGTTTGGGGAAGAATGTGTCTTCTTTAATTTCTTGATCCGGAGGCCCATTTAAAATATTTGAAGAATGTGTCAGGCTTTCTTTTTTCTTTGATTGAAAGAATGTGTCAGGCTTTAAACGCTATTAATATTGCCGGGACGATATATTTATCTTCTATAATTCTTTCATTGGCAATCACAACTTTACTGCATTTTAGATATTCCTCACATTAAAGTCATATATCAACTATAATTTCCACTCTTACGAAAGTTTACAAATAATCTTTTGGCTGGGGTTTCCTTCAATTGACTCGTTTATTTAGTGATTTTTTTAAATTTTGGTATTACGTGTAGTTAGTGATATTGTCAAGTTTATTGTCAAATAATTTATATATGAAATAGTTGTACTGTGTTCTGAACCCTAAACGGTTTATAACCTCTGGATCGGATCTTTTTTTTTTTCTTTTTTAAATGTTAAAGCATATAAATATCCTTCTATTAGAGGCAATCTTATTCAAGGGATTGTCGGGCAGTAAATGTGGACACTTCTTTTAGCGAGAATTCAAACTTTAACTCATCACGTAGGATTGGATCTATTTAAATACTACAAATAGAAGCTTATGAATTATGTTTTTAGGAGAAAGTTTATCTGTGAGTTGAGCCCAATAGTTGGCTGATGATATTCTGGATAATTAGGTTGATCATTTTGGATATTTTAAATTCAGTATGATTGATTATTTTAAATTATCAACAAGTGGGTTGATAATTAGTATGATTGATTATCAACTAAATTCAGCGTGTATTATGTTTGAAATAGTTATATAGGTTTATGGATAAATTGTAATGTTGTGGGTTTCAAAGTGCCTCAACCCAAATGTTAGCTTGCAAGTTTTTGCCCAATACTTTAGTTAAAGATAAGATTTAATCCTTTTCTACTCTATAAAAGGCACTTTTCTACTATGAAAATGTGATATCGAGTTTTGTATATCTATAGCTCGATCTTTTTATAACCATAAAACGACCTTTATTGATTAGTTGTACTTGTTTTTTTTTTTTTAATATCATGATTAACTTTTATATCAACCGATAAAATTCTTTTTTACTGTAATACTGTGCTTAATAGGTGATATTCTTTTCTACCATAGTAGGATTAAAAGATTTTATGAAAATGATTAGACTTTATGGTTTATAAAATGGAATGAGTTTACTGCTAACTCAATTATAGCTACATGATCGGCTGTGTTTGGATGAAACCAAACCATGATTTGGAAAATAGCTTCTGGAAAAAATAGATTTTGTAAAGAATAGGGGTGTGTTTGGCATACACCCCAAACCATGGTTTTGGGATCCAAACCATGGTTTGGGAAAAATGTTAGCCAAACACCCTTAAAAAAATTAAAACCATGGTTTGGGTTCAAAACCATGGTTTTAACTCCAAAACCATGGTTTTAGGAAAAACAGAAATTTTTTACTTTTGGAGAAAAAAAGGAGAGTGTGAGAGCCTATAGGATATGTATCTTGTTGTTTTTTTTATAAACATATTTTTTATAAACATATTTAATCTTATATCTTATAAATATATATACATATTAATTATTTATTAATTATATTATCTTATATATTATTAATATATGTTAATAAAAAATATATTATTAACAATTTTATTCCTTCAAATTAAAATATATCATAAAATATATTTTTTCTATAATTATCATATTAATTTATGTCAATTTGTATACATAAAAAATACTTCTAATAACAACTATCCAAACATTCACACTTCTCAAAATCACTTTTTCATAAAATATATTCTTTCCAAAATCTATTTTTTTCAGAATCTATTATCCAGAAGCTATTCTCCAAACCATGGTTTGGTTTCATCCAAACACACAGATTTTGTGAAAAGGTGATTTTGAGAAGTGAGAGTGTTTGTATAGTTATTATCAGAAGCACTTTTTATATGTACAAATTATTAAAAAAAACATAAGTTAATATGATAATTACATAAAACATAGATTGTATGATATATTTTAATTTGAAAGAATAAAATTGTTAATAATATATTTTTTACCAACATAATTAATAATACATAAGATAATGTAATTAATAAATAATTAATATGTGTATATTTATTTATAAGATATAAGATTAAATATGTTTATAAAAAATTAATTAAGGGGTGTTAAAGTCATATTATTGTTGAGATTTACTCTAATAGACACAATCATACCCTCCAATTTGAACCAAAAGCATAATGGATTCACTTTTCCTGAATCCAAAACCATGGTTTTGACCCAAATCATGGTTTCAGATAATTTGTGCCTGTTTGGGTTGTTTTTTTCCCAAACCATGGTTTGGCCTGCTATCCAAACAGGGCCGATAAACATGTCAGATACTGTTGCTATAAACCTATAGTAATGTAACTTTTGCTCTGCATTGAGAAAAACTTAGCATATCATAATGGGAAAAAGAACTTTGAATTTAAATAAAGAAAAAAATTACTTCATCACTGATACGAGCTGTAACTTATTTCCTTTTAGTGGGATCATCGAAGCTTTGTGGCCACAACAACATAGATTTGGTCTACCACGCCATTAGAGAACCGAAAATAAGTGCATCTTCATGCTTTGTTCAGGAACAGAGAACCACAGACTACCCAGAATCCCACAGTAAAGCCAATTCCCAGACCAAGATACAATGATTTCAAAAAAGCATCATCCTCATTTTCTTCAACATGCTTTGTATTATCTGCCTTTTCTTCTGTTGTGCAGTTCTTTTGAAGAGGAGGTCCACAAAGCTTAGGATTTCCTATGTAACTCAATGCATCAAAATTTTGAAGTTGAGTCCCCAGTGGAAATTGTCCCATAAATTTGTTATATGACAAATTCAAAACACCTAGAAAAGACAAACTAGACATGCTTTGAGGAATATTCCCTTGAAGACTACTATGGGAGAAATCAAGATACTCTAGGTCTTTCATTTCTCCTATTTCCCCTCGTATTTCTCCTGTCAAATCATTATACGACAAGTTCAATGATTGATTATATTGGTTTGAACCTGAACAACTGCTTAGGAATTCTCCCAAATAGTTTGTTTACTGAAAGGTCAATATTCTACATAAAGAATTGGCTTGTCCAGGGTTCTAATTCTTGACCCTTTGTATGCAAATTACTTCTGAGTTTAAATGGGATTGCAAAGTCATCTGATAATGGTAGACCAGCAGGTATTGTTTGAGTGATGAACCAATCATTCAAAGACCCTAAAACCATGCTAGTTAAATTGTGAAGGCAATAAGGTATTGATCCTGAAAGCTTGTTATATGCGAGATCCAAAACAATCAACTTAGAGAGGGTACATAGCTATGAAGGAAGGTTGCCTATAAATTGATTTAGATTTCAATTTCACTACTGATACATTTTGCGGCATCCATTTTGGTATGCTCCCAGAAAAATTGTTTCCTTCCCGATTGGTGAGTAGTGAAGATGTGAAGTTCTGGAAAGTCAATGGCATATCTCCATAAAAGCCATTATTATGTAAACCTGGTAACTTAATCTCATTCTCTGGTTAAAAAAAAAAAAAAAATCTCATTCAATAAACCTATTGTTGGAGGAACTTCACATAACTTATTATACTCCAAATATATGTAGGACAAGTATGGCAAATTGCCCCAACAATGTGGAAGCACTCCAGTCAAAAAATTATTTGATATATCCAATTACCACAACATATATTTCTCATCCTCAGTGTGACACAACAGAGACGATAAAGATCCAGAGAAAAAGTTGTGAGCCAAATCCAAACCAGAGACATTTGCTGATATATGAGGAAGGTTGCCTTCTAATTTATTAAATGACAAAAATATGAATGCACTGGTTAGCAACAAGTCTGAGCTATCTCCACTGAGTTGTGAGACAAATACAAAACCAAAGAGGGCTTCACAAGGCTTTTTTGGAAGTGTACCACTCAAGTGATTGAAGCTAAGATCTAGAGCTGATAAAGCTGGTGAATTTCCAAGACTTGAAGGAATGCTGTTACTGAGTGAATTATTAGATAGAATTATATTTTTCAAGTATTTGTGTTGACCTAACCAATCATGCATTGATCGTTCGAGTTTGTTATCAAATAGATTTATGGTATGCAGGTTTTGATACCCTGAAAAATCTGGAATCGGACCTCTTAAATTGCATTGGTCGACATAAATATAGGATAAGTCTTTACTAAGATTGGACAACCAACTAAGTCCATATTAGAATAAGATAAATACCAGAAAGTGAGCTGAAATTGACATCATCCTTAACAGAAGGAACACTGAAGCTGGTCAAATGACAGTCAACTAGAACTAATTCCTCAAGGGATAGAGAAGCCAATAATTGAATGACTGTCAAATGATAGTCTCTATAAGAAGACAAACACCAGAGAGATTGAGAATTGTCAGGGAAGGAAGTCGAGAGAGCCAATCAAGATAATCAATTTGAAGATGAAGATTGTAAGAAAAAGACAAGGTAGAAAGCTCAGAAAAATTTGCAGCAAGGGAAGTATTATTGATAGGTGGCGTGCTAGTCATTGTAGTCCAAATACAAGGAATCCAGAAATTCAAGTTGAAGCAATAAAGATAAGTTGATTTCACCTCTCAAGGATTTTGGACTCTTTTGATTTGGACTTTGCAGTAGAAGGGATATGACTCTGTCGTTGTAATCACACGAAACTCCTTCCCATGCACAACAATCTTCAGTATACATAATCATCAAGTTTCACGACCTTTCTTTCTTTATTTTTTTTTTTCTCCCAATTCTTCTTTGGTTGTATGAAAGGTGAAGTAGTCATCAATATTATAAATATTTATCTGTGAAATAAATACTCATATCTCACTGTTTGTTTTTTACTTGTTCACATGTTCTCTGTTCGTTCTGTCTCTTCCCCTGTTTGAGCTCTATTCCCCAGCGTGCGTTTTAATACACACACACACACACACACACACACATATACCCGCGCGCGCGCGCGCATTTTTTAGTACTTCAAATCGTTGGGGGAAGAAGACTACGAAGTCTGAATACAAATACTAAAACTTGTATTTCTGAGAAGCAAGGAATTTGGTGAGAATCATGTATCTTTAATTTCTTGATCTGGAGGCCCATTTAAAATATTTGAAGAGGCTTTAAACGCTATTAATATTGCCGGAACGATATATTTATCCTCTACAATTCTTTCATTGGCAATCACAACTTTATTGTATTTTAGATATTCCTCAAATTAAAGTCATATCAACTATAATTTCCACTCTCACGAAAGTTTGCAAATAATTTTTCGGCTAGGGCTTCCTTCAATTAACTCGTTTAGTTAGTAATTTTCTTTGGTTATTACGTGTCAAATAATCTATATATTAAATATTTGTACTGGGGGTTGAATCCTGAACGGTTTATGACCTCTGGATGTTAGGATTGGATCTATTTGAATACCGCAAATAGAAGCTTATGAATTATGTTTTTAGGGAAAAAAAAATTTCTGTGAGTTGAGCCCAACAGTTGGCTGGTGATATCCTGGATAATTAGGTTGATCATTTTGGATGTTTTAAAATGAGTATGATTGATTATGAATGAACAGGTATGTTATATGCTTGAAATAATTACAAGTTTATGGATAAATTGTGATGTTGTGGGTTTCAAAGTGTCTCAACCCACTTGTTAGCTTGTAAGGTTTTGCTTAATGCTTTTAATATAGATAAGATTTAATCCTTTTCTACACTATAAAAGACACTTTTCTACCATGAAAATGTGATAACATAACATGATCTTTATTGATTAGTTGTACTTTTTTTTTTTATCATGATTAATTTTTATATTAACTAGTGAAATTCGTTTTTACTGTAATACTGTGTTTAATAGGTTACATTCTTTTCTACCTTAGTAGAATGAGAAGACTTCATGAAAATGATTAGACTTTACAGTTCGTATTTCATAAGATGACATGAGTTTACCGCTGATTAAAATGATGCGTCTATATCGCAGGCTAATAGAAAAGTTAAGTTTAACTATTATGTTGCTGACTCAACTGAAAGTCCTAACCGACCTGGGGGCACTGGTATCTTGACTCTTGTATTCCAATTCAGCAGAATCTTCGGAGTTTATATCCACAGCAACATATAATTTGGTCTCCCACACCTTGAAAGAATCGAAAAAAAGAGTGGACCTATACTTTGTTCAGGAACGGAGAACCACAAACTACCCACAACTCCACAGCGAAGCCAACTCCCATTCTAAGATGCGGTGACTTCAAAAACACATCATCCTCATTTCCTTCAATCTGCCCGATATTGTTTGTTTTTTCTGGTATTGGGCAGTTCTTTTGAAGAGGTCCACAAAGCTAGGACCGCATCTTATATTTGAGGAAGCCGTTCTTTAAATTTATTCGATGATGTAAATATATTTAAACCTATTGGAAATAAGTTCGCTATGTCCCCATTAATTGAGCTGGGAGACTTATTGTCGCCAAGGACCTTTGGGAGTGCACCACTCAAGTCATTGAAACTAATATCTAAATATCCTAAAGTTGATGCATTAAGGAGATCAGATGGAATGGTGTTGTGCAACAAGTTATTAGATACATCAAGGTAAGCTAATATATCAAGCTGGCCAAGCCAATCAGGTATTGATCCTCTGAGTCTGCTGGTAGATAGATCTAAGTACATTAGATTCCGATAGCCTCAAAAATCTGGCATTCGACCTCTCAAATTGCATTGTCTGAGAAAAATCAGAGAGATGATCTTTGCTAAGATTGAACAACCAATTAGCTAATCCATTTGTAAAATCCTTTAGACCAAGATCAAGATATGAAAGTGAGCTAAAATTGGCATATCGGCGAGACAGAATAGAGCTGGTCAAATTACAATCATGCAAATCTAATGTCTCCAAAGGGGGCAAAGCCAATGATTGGAGCCAAACGATTTCACTAGGATTCATGTCACCAGAATTGGGAGTTGTCAGGGAAGGAAGTCGAGAGAGCCAATAATGAAAGATTATCAATTTGAAGATGAATATTGTTTGATAAACTCAGTGCAGAAAGCTTAGAAGAATTTGGCAGCAAATTTGGATGAGCTGCAACAGGTTTATTGATAGACGCCATGCTTATGCGTTCAAAGTCATTGAGGGACAACTCCAACACTCGTAGAAATTGAAATGCAAGTAAAAAAGATATGTTGATTTCACCTCTCAAGGATTCTGAACCATTTCGATTCAAATTTGCTAGGTTAAGACATATGACTCTGCTGGTGTTACGATCACACTCAACCCCATGCCATTGACAGGAATCTGGCAGAGTAGACCAAGAAGAGAGGCGGGTGGAAAGATCAACAATGCCTTGTTTGTAGATTAGTAGTAAGCTTCGATCCCTTTCAGGCAACAAGTAACTCTGTTGAATTGCGCTGCACATAGCAACACCAACACTATAAGAGCGATTTGTGATGTGAAAGGAAGCATCATTATGAAAAGATTTTTCTTCAAGTGAAGGCTTGCTATGCATATTTCTAGTGATTTTTATATAAGGACTGCGTATTAAGTTATATATATATGTATTTGTATAGCTTGCTCTTTCTCAAGCTTCCGTCCTTTTCTCCTGTCTTTTGTTCTTGTGTTTTTTTTTTTTTGGCCTCACAAAATGCTTCCCATTTTTTTACCAAGTCTTCCGTCCTTCTTTCCCAGGTCTCTGCCCCAAATCACAGTCTATCACTTTATGCAAAGATTGTAAAGTCTTCGTCTTCAATTCCTCTGGATTAATGGAACTCACAGAGGAGAGCGCCCCTTCTTATCTGCTTCTACAAAATTGCATCAACAAATTTCAGTCCTTTTCCAAGCAACTTCACTACCGCTTCAACTTCTATGTATAAATCATTTCTAACCATCCTATATATTCAAAGTAAGAAGAGATATTTAAATCATCGCAAAGTGAATTTTTGTTGCTTTAACTTTAATTAGGCAAGAATTTTTCATCATATAAAATATAGTTTCAGTCTTTTAACCTTAATACTATTAGTTTTGTTAACAAAAAATGGCAACATTAAAATTTTAGACGCTAACAGAATATTCACAAATGCTTATATATTAAATTTAATTTCTTAAAATTACGATAATTTGCGCCAAAAATTATCATTATTTAATACTAATTGTAATAGGGCCAGAGAACTAAACAAATAATTTTATAAAATTAAGAAATCAAAATGCACGACATCTTATATAAAATTAAAAGATGAAAAGCATATTTTTGCTTTGAATAATTAACTTTGTTGCAAATGAAAAATTTTCCAAATCAATCCTTATTACAAAACATGAATTGAAAAGATAATAAATGTCCAAACGAGTAATTATACACAATCATCTCCCTTATTTATTTTTTTTCCCAATTCTTCTTTGCTTGTATGAAACGTGGAGTAGTCATCAATATTACAAATATTTATCTTTGAAATAAATACTCATATCTCGCAGTTTGTTTCTCACTTGTTCACATGTTCTCTGTTTGTTCTGTGTCTTCCCTGTTGAGCTATATTCCCCAACGTGCGTTTTAATATATATATATATATATATATATATGTACACACACACTCTTTAGTACTTCAATATAGTTGATCGTTTACATTAAAAAAGAAAAAGAAAAAGAAAAAGAATGTAAATTCTGAAATATAGACTTTGAAGTCTAAATCGTTGGGGGAAGAAGAGTATGAAATCTGAGTCCAAATACTAAAACTTGTATTTCTGAGAAGCAAGGAATTTGGTGGGAATCATGCATCTTCTTTAATGTCTTGATCCGGAGGCCCATTTAAAATGTTTCAAAAATGTGTCAGGCTTTAAACACAATTAATATTGATGGGACGATATATTTATCTTCTATAATTCTTTCATTAGCAATCACAACTTTATTGTATTTTAGATATTCCTCAAATTAAAGTCATATATCAACTATAATTTCCACTCTTACGAATGTTTACAAATAATCTTTTGGCTGGGGCTTCCTTCAATTGACCCGTTTAGTTAGTGATTTTTTTTTTTGGTATTACGTGCAGTTAGTGATATTGTCAAGTTTATTGTCAAATAATCTATATATGAAATATTTGCACTGTGGGTTGAATCCTAAACGGTTTATGACCTCTGGATGTTAGGATCTATATAAATACTGCAAATAGAAGCTTATGAATTATGTTTTTAGGAAAAAGTTTATCTGTGAGTTGAGCCTAACAGTTGGCTGATGATATTCTGGATAATTAGATTGATCATTTTGGATATTTTAAAATGAGGATGATTGATTATGAATGAACAGGTATGTCATATGTTTGAAATAACTAATTATAGGTTTATGGATAAATTGTGATGTTGTGGATGTCAAAGTGCCTCAACCCACTTGTTAGCTTGTAAGGTTTTGCCTAATGCTTTTAGTAAAGATAAGATTTAATCCTTTTCTACTCTACAAAAGGCACTTTTGTACTATGAAAATGTGACATCGAGTCTTGTATATCTATACCTTGAACTTTTTATAACCATAAAACGATCTTTATTGATTGGCCGTCCTTTTTTTTTAAATATCATGATTAACTTTTATATTAACCAGTGAAATTCTTTTTTTACTGTAATACAGTGCTTAATAGTTCACATTCTTATCTACCATAGTAGAATTAAAATGATTAGACTATATGGTTCATAGAATGGCATGAGTTCACCGCTGACTCAATTATAGCTAAATGATAAACATGTCAAATACAATTGCAATAAACCTATAATAATGTAACTTTTTCTCAGCATTGAGACACAATTAGCATATCATACTGGGAACAAGAACTTTGAATTTAAATAAAGAAAAAAATTACTTCATCACTAACCTGAACTATAACTTATTTCCATTTAGTGGGGTCATTGAAGCTTTGTGGCCACAGCAACATAAATTTGGTATACCACGCCATTAGAGAACCGAAAATAAGTGCGTCTCCATATGCTCTCTTCAGGAATAAAGAACCACAGACTATCCAGAATCCCACAGCAAAGTCACTTCCTAGACCAAGATAAAATGACGTCAAAAAAAGCATCATCCTCATTTCCTTCGACATGCTTTGTGTTGTCTGCTTTTTCTTTTGTTGTGCAGTTCTTTTGAAGAGGAGGTCCACAAAGCTTAGGATTTCCTATGCAACTCCATGCATCAAAATTTTGAAGCTAAGTCCCCAGTGAAAATTGTCCCATAAATTTGTTATATGACAAATTCAAAACACCTAGAAAAGACAAACTAGACATGCTTTGAGGAATATTCCCATGAAGACTATTATGGGAGAAATCAAGATACTCTAGGTCTTTCATCTCTCCTATTTCCTTTGTATTTCTCTTGTCAAATCATTATACGACAAGTTCAATGATTGATTGTATCAGTTTGAGCCTGAACAACTGCTTAGGAATTCTCCCAGATAGTTTGTTTGCTGAAAGGTCAATACTCCGCATAAAGAATTGGCTTGTCTAGTATTCTAATTCTTGACCCTTTGTATGCAAATTACTTCTGAGTTTAAATGGGATTGCAAAGCCATCTGATAATGGTAGACCGGCAGGCATCGTTTGAGTGATGAACGGATCATTCAAAGATCCTAAAACCATGCTGGTTAAATTGTGAAGGCAATAAGGTATTGATCCTGAAAGCTTGTTATGTGCGAGATCCAAAATAATCAACATAGAGAGGCTACATAGCTGTGAAGGAATGTTGCCTGTAAATTGATTAGATCTCAATTTCACTATTGATACATTTTGCGGCACCCATTTTGGTATGCTCCCAGAAAAATTGTTTCCTTCCAGATTGATGGGAATAAATCGTCGGGGGAAGAAAACTCTGAAGTCTGAATCCAAATACTAAAACTTGTATTTCTGAGAAGCAAGGAATTTGGTGGGAATCATGTATCTTCTTTAATTTCTTGATCCGAAGGCCCATTTAAAATATTTGAAGAATGTGTCAGTCTTTAAACACTATTAATATTGCCGGGACGATATATTTATCTTCTATAATTCTTTCATTAGCAGTCACAACTTCCTTGTATTTTAGATATTCCTCAAATTAAAGTCATATATCAACTATAATTTCCACTCTTACGAAAGTTTGCAAATAATCTTTTGGCTGGGGCTTCCTTCAATTAACTCGTTTAGTTAGTGATTTTTTTTTTTTGGGTATTACGTGTCAAATAATCTATATATGAAATATTTGTACTGTGGGTTGAATCCTAAACGGTTTATGACCTCTGGATGTTAGGATTGGATCTGAGACATAGAAATTTCTGTTACAGGGTCAATGCAGGGGCAGCTGAGAGTCCCAATAGGTATGGAATTGCTATTGTTGTGTTCAGTTAATGTTTTACATTTATGAATAACGGAATTGCTGACATTGTCTTACTTCTCAGCAAAACTCGGAAAAGTAGCTGGGCCGGTTGTTCCTTACGAGTACGCGAGTGTGGTCAAGGACTCTTGTGATCCAAGTACATTTATCAGAGGTCCCATGCTTCCTTCTCAAGCTGTTCACCGTGCTTATTGTTACCACAGATCGAGCTCTAGAAATCAAGAAAGGTCAGCTACAACAGAGTCTGATAAGGGTGTATCTGTGCAAGCCAAACATGCGCATTCTGAAGTTCGTGCCAAAATAGCTCCAGATATAGCTATTAATATTGATAAAAACCCTTTTTTATGACACGGGCAGGAGTGAGCGGCATCGAACAGGATAATCGAATAGCTATGGACACGGATTTAATACCGACAAAGGCTCAATATGGTCAGATTGGTGCCACCACAATGGCAACTACTGCTCATAGTAAGGTTGGTCCTGTTCAGTATGGCACGACTGCTATGTTTTAGGAGTTATCAAGTGGATATTTCAGCTAATGAGGGAGAAATCGTTGTAGAGAAAGGTCCTTTATGGGGGAAGGCACTTAGGTCTCTCGTAGGTTCTGTAAAATAAGGGTGAGCGAGGCCGTGAGGCAGCCATTCCCTTCGAAGAGCCTGGTTTCTTTGGTCAAGAGATGCTTTAGAATTTGGTAAGAAGCTGTATAATTCGAATTGACTCCTACTTATTGAGATCCTCTTTCATATCCCCCCCCCTTCCCTCTCTCCACTCAATCATGATTAATAAGATGGATGAATCGTATGCAAATCTTTAGTATTTGTTATGAAGTTCCCTAAAGAGTGTCAGGAAAATTCAATCTGTGTTTTTTCCTTGGAGTTTTATGTATTCTACTAAGGACTATGTTTGACTCTTTAAAATTAGTTTATTAGCAAGAAAGATAAATCACTGAAATGTGAAATTTTCAAAATAGTTCCGTGGCATAATTTTTTATTTTTTTCCCCAAGGGACTTCTTAGACATTAGATTTTATCGCCAGATGACCATATTATCTGTAAACCCCCCCGGGAAAAAAAAACACAAAAAGAAAAACCTCCGTTGACTGCCAGTTGCCACTGGTGGCGACGTTTCAGCGGTCAGAATCTGGCATCGGCCAACGTCAGTGATTGTAAATTATTGAGAAGGGGGTGACATTAAAGGGAAGCAGTTATTGATCTCAAGAATCCTTTTTTTTTTATTTGGAAAAAAAATTGTGGTCGATATGTCATTTTATAACAAAAATTAATGTCGGTGTTGGTGTTTATGGACTTGGGATTGGGAATTATGTAGGAGTATTTGGAGATTTCCGGGGTATATTAAGCTTATATTGTGGGCAATTAGTGTAATTACTTTAGGAATGAAATTGAGTGACTGACTGATTCATTATTGTACATTTGCTCTTCTCCAACACTTCCATCGTCATGGTGTCAATAAAATAATTGAAAATTATTATTATTATTTATTTATGTCCAATTTTCTTTGGAGATCAAATGATTATGAACTTCAAAAATAGGGAACATTTTCATTTTTTCCTAGCCAAAAGTAGTGTGGTTGCGCGTTACGGTATTAGTGCATCAAGGGTGCTTCAAAAAAGCGACGTCCTGTGACTTTGGTCTTTGGGTTAGGTCCCATCACTCTTGAAATGGCCAACATGGATGTCTCCTCAAGAAATGTCATGGGAAATTTTTTTAATTTCTTTTGGCATATTTATAAGAATTTTTTTTACAAAAGCATATTATTATAAGTTTAGTGTTTTTCAAAACCTATTAAAATATTATTACTAAATCTGATTTAAAATTTAATCATTCCGAACTTCTTTTCATAAAATCTTCCTTTAAACAAATGATGTGTAGAGGGAGGATTTGGTATATTTAAGTGTGGAAGCTAGTAATAAAATAAAATATTTAAGTGAGGAAAAAGATTAAATATTTGTCCATTTATTTGACTCGGATTATTTTTATTGGGCTGAATAAAACAAATATTGCATTAACTACTTAATAGTTGATAAAAGGGAGGAAGACCCAAAACAAAAAAAACTCTCAAAATATATAAATTTTAATTTAGGATCCTGAAATGATGACCTGACTACTTTGAAGTGTTTCAGAGTTTATTTGAGATTACAGAGAGCAAGATTACATATGCGCCTTTCATTTGAAATCCTTGAATTTCATAACAAATAACAATTTTTGTATAACCAATGACAAGAACAATATAGCTAATGACAAGTTCTATATGCTTTTGCAATGACAAGATTAAGTAGAAAATTGCTCAAGGATGACAGGAACATCTTAGGGAATAAACCTTTTGCATAACAAATGACGATGATAATGATAAATTTTAATTTTGCTCTATTAACAATGTTAACCTCTGTATAGAAACTAAAAATATTAATAGAACAAAGTCATAAAAGCTTATGTTGCTAAAAAAGAAAAATTAAATAATTTAATTAAGAGGAAAAAAACAAATAGATACCAAATGAAAAATTGAGAGAAAATATAGGTAGGTTTAATATGGTTTTCCTTAAAAATAATTACAAACATTAAATTTGTTATAAAATTCAAGTCACCTTATTACATAGAGGGAGTACTAAGGGGGTGTTTGGGAATTAGGAGAAGTGTTTTTTAAAAGCATTTTTTCACAAATTGAGATAAATTCCTTTATATATTTACTTCGTATATTGTAAAATCACTTCTGAAACCATGATTTGGTTTTCATCCAAACACCCCCTAAGAACTTCAGAGCAATTTGTCCATCTTGAGATGTAAATGGAGATTTGCATATTGTTAGGGTATTTTCCAGTCATTCTTGCTTGAGAAAATGAGATTTAGGGTGTGTTTGGATAAAACCAAACCATGGTTTGGAGAATAGCTTTTGGAGAATAGATTTTGGGAAGAATAGATTCTGTAAAGAATAGATTTTGTAAAAAAGTGATTTTGAGAAGTGAGAGTGTTTGGATAGTTGTTATCAGAAGTACTTTTTATATATACAAATTACTAAAAAAAACATAAGTTAATATGATAATTATATAAAAGATAAATTTTATGATATATTTTAATTTGAAGGAATAAAATTGTTAATAATATATTTTTTACCAACATAATTAATAATACATAAAATAATATAATTAATAAATAATTAATATGTGTATATATGTTTATAAGATATGAGGTTAAATATGTTTATAAAAAAATAATTGAAAAATGTTAAAGTCATATTATTGTTGAGATCTACTCTAACAGGCACAATCATCTCTCCAATTTGAGCCAAAAGCAGAATGAATTCACTTCTCTTGAAACCATGGTTTTGTATTCTAAAACCATGATTTTGGCCCAAACCATGGTTTCAGATTATTGGCCCAAAATTGATGTTGTTTGGGTGACATCTCACCAAAACCATGGTTTTGCCTCCCAAACCATGGTTTTGAGGGTCACCCAAACAGGCCTTTGGTGGCCTCAAAAGGAGATGAAAATTGGAATACATTGAAGGTCAAGGACCTCAGTCTTAGCTAGACGAGTTATGAATCCCTGAAAATGAATTGTGAATTGCTAAATATAAGTTGCAAATTACAGGATATCAGTTGTAAATTTTAAAAAAGAGATGTTCATGATTTCTATAAAGTTGGAGTCTTGAATTCCCAGAAATCATAAGTGGTAGAAAGACATGATTAATCGACAGTTATGATGAGTAAATGACTTGGGGCGCGATAAATGTCCGAAAATCTTGGACGAGTCTAGACCCTCCATGATCGATTTACAGAATAATATAACTTTTATATATAATGATTCTACTATCATGCATGAACGATAGACATGTAATTTATAGATTTTTGAATCTTCTGTGAATTGTGATTACGAAGGTATGGCCATACGAGTATGACCATGGAGATCGACTTCTGAATTTAGCGTCTTGCAATGCATCGGAGACTCAACTTTTGGGACCAACAAGAAATGGGGAGTTTCATAATTTGCTGAATTCTGGGAAAATCTTTAGCATCCGTCCTTGATTTTCTCGGAGATTGAAGCATTTACCAGTGACTCATCCTTTTCGACTTTGAACACCGACGCTGTCCTCAGGTTTTATTAGTTTCTCGTAAGAAATACTTCATCGTTGTTGTTTGGATGGTGAGATGTATGATTCTTCTTACTCTCGATCTTTATGTTAAATCTCTTCCATTTTTTTAACTATTTGGCGAATTAACTAAGTAGCATTGTCGTTTTATTATTTTTAGTATCTTCGCCCGTTTATCGCTCAGATTATCGTTCCTTGTTCTTCCAGAACTAACAATGGCGGACGATAAGGTTGATGATCAAATCGGCGAGGAATTTTCTGATCCTGACGTACGCCGGAGCGACGGTCACGTCGAGGAATTGACGAAAAAGATCGATGCACTGGAACGTGAGAGAGACGGATTGGGGAATGAAATTGTAGGTGGGAAGACCGAAATCGATAAACTGATGCAGGAGATTGACGGCTTGAGAGAAGACGAATCGAATATGCGAGAGATGATTGAAGGTTTGGAGAGAGAGTTCGAGCGGTCTGAGGTGGCCAAGAAGGCAACGAAAGCTATGGCGGCGAGAAAGGCCGACCTCGGGGCCGAGGTTTCTAGGCTTAACCGTGATTATATATCTGTAAAGAGTGCTGCTGAGGGATCTAGAGCAGTGCGCGCTAAACTGAGGAGCGTTTTGGAAGAGAAAGGATCAATGGTGTTGAATTTAGTGTGTGAAGCAGAGGGTTAAAGCAAGCAAAATTAGAAATCAACAAGAAGGCGAAGGACTTAAAGAGGACAATCGGGGTTTTTGAGATGAAGGAAATTGAGGAAAAGAGCAAGAAAATTAGGGTGTTGGAGGAGTTGAGAGAGGAAATTGAGGAGAAAGAGAAGGAAATTTGTGGGTTTAGACACAAGCTTGAGGAGTTGCAAAGGGTTGTCCCAGAGAAGGGATCTATATTGGAAGAAATGTTAAATCTGGAGGAGGCACTGAGAGAATCAGAGGAGAAAACAAGAAGCATGGAGTCAAATATTTTGAAATTACAGGAGAAAGTTAAGGAAGCAGAAACTGTTATCAAATCTTTGAAGGAGAAAGCTGATGAGGCAGTCAATGAAGCTTTGAGTGGAATGGATAATGAGGCAGAGGCAAAGGGTTTGAATGGGTTGAAGTTGCAGTGGCCTGTGGCTGCAGCATCTACTGGAGCTATTGCTATAGCAACTGTTGTTATCTTTGTCTGTTATGGAAAACATACGTGATTTCCCTGAGCAGAGAAACAGAGGAAGGAGGAACTATGAATTGGATGACCAAGGTCAGCCCAAGTTAGGATATTCCAGTTCTAGTAACAAGAATACTTCAATTTTGTTATTCATAAATCTAATGCTTTTATTCAACAGGGGAAAAAGAACTAATGCTTTTTGGCTTTGATTTTTTCCTTGAGCTAATAAAATTTTGATTCATATCTGCATGTTAGTTGATGTTTGAGAGAACTAAAACCATTTGCATACAACAGGAATGTCCTGGCTTGACTTATTGCAAGCAGCAGGTTTTCGTCCTGCTGAAGAGCACGATGATGTGCTTTCTAATCAGTAGCTTTGCTTTAGTAATATTAATGGCGGTCATACGACCATTTAAGATTAAATTAAACTAGTGATTATATGCCTTCTAGCGTTGCCACATATTGAGCTTGGTTGGAAGCATAATGAAGGTGTAAGTTGTCTATGCTTGCACCACCTCTTTATCAGTTTCTTCAGTTTTTGAAATCATCTTCTATTAGTATAGTTTTTCACATTAGATGTATGCATACTCATTCATTTGGCTTTTGATGCTGGTGTTTGAGGCATTATCTCCCAATAGGAGGTTCAAACCTTGGTGGACTAGTCCCTTCCACTAAGAATGTTGTGTTTTGGTAAAAATTGCTTTTAGTTATTGATAGACTGGCACAAAATTTTTTTCTCCTTTTTTGTCTATTCCATGCAATTAAAACTTTTTTTTTTACTTGTATTAAAAACATTGTTATTCACACTGCCAAATTTATTAACAAAATGGATTAAAAAAATAGTTTAATTAATTATTTGTAAAAAAATGAGTTGATTTTTGTAAAACACTCGTCTTTTTACTTATTTATATTAGAGTGTAATCAACGTAGTTATAGGGATATTTTGGAAAAAAAAATATAACAAATATGTGAGATAAAAAAAACATTAACATCTTATGTCTATAATTAAAACAATATTCTTAACTAGTTTTTACATTTAGATTGGAAAAAATAGAAGGAGGTTATATTAGAACTAGTTTATTTCTACACTTAAAATCCCCTTGTAAGAATGCCAAGCTCTATATGAAATCTAGCCCAACTCGATGATCATTATATCTTGCCAGGCTTTTCCAATTTGTCAAGCTGGGATCCCAACTGAATGGGTCTAGGGAATATATTACAAGCCAACTTAGCACAATATTTTTTTATACGTAATTGAGGTTAATTTAGAACTAGCAATTAACCTTAATTTTAGAGGCTCATGTCACAATTATATGAATCATGAACATCATAACAAGAATAGCATACTTCAAATCAAAATTATATCTGAACTCATATTTTTCACTAAGAAACAGCACAGTTGGGAGATTGACTAAGAACATGAAACCATATCGTAGAAAAATCTGACATACCAAATTTGTGTAAATAACCAAATCAAGCAGCAAATACAATGACAAACACACATATTACTAAAAATCACCAAACTTGTACGGCCCCAAACTTTTGAATACTTATTAAAGTTGCTGCCATTTACCAAAGCTTCATCTAAAATTCTATCAATCAAAGAGCTTAAGTACCGAATCTTCTTCTGGAACTCATGCGAGTCTTGAAAATCTGGAATCAACCACCTATTGCTTAGAATGACAAGTATGAATGATATGAGTTCACTCTACCACAATCAGAACTGAAAAAGATCTTTTGAGTGTGAGTTTCTTTTTAAAATGAGTTTCTTTTTAAAATGACAATTAACTTGTAAAGAGAAAATGAAAATCCAAACTTTTGGATCATAAATCTAAATGTTGTTTTGAAACATCAACAACTCTTAAAAAAGGATAACGCATATTTTTAGTCCTTTAGCTTTGTGTAAGATTTTAATTTTGTCCCTTAATATTAGAAATTATATTTTTAGTTTTTTAACCCTAAAACTGTTAATAAAAAAAATAATGATATTGAGATCTTAAATATTGAAATAACATTCTTAAATGCTAATATACAAAGTTTAATAACTATGATTGTCATAATAAGATTATCACATAAGATTTTAGTGTTAAAGCACTAAAAATATACTATTTAAATTTAAAAGACCAAATTGAAATCTTGTACAAAGTTAACAGACCAATTATACATTTTTGCCTTTAAGGACACTTAAATATTTTAAAGTTTGATTTGGGCATTTTAATTGTTTTAGAATAAAAGACCAATAACTTAATTTCTTTTAAACAGTTGAAATTAGTCGTTGCATTCATACATGGACAGAGCCTTAACTTGCATTATGCATTTGATTTAGGAAGCAAAAAATAGAAAAATGAAATCATTACAACACCGCTGATGAATTTGCGTGGAAATAAAAGTTATCATGAAAAAGAACTTTAGATTTAAATAAACAGAAGTATAACTTTATAACCAACCTGGAGCTGCAGCATATTCCCATTCAGCGGAATCTATGAAGCCTTATGGCCACAGTAACATAGATTCGATCAACCACAGCATTAAAAAATCGAAAATAAGAGTGCCTCCATGCTCTGTTTAGAAACAGTGAACCACAAACTACCCAAAATCCCGCAGCAAATCCAACTCCCATCCCAAGATACAATGACTTCAAAAAACCATCATCTTCATTTTCTTCAACTTTTTCTGTATTATCTAGTATTGTGCAGTTCTTTTGAAGAGGAGGCCCACAAAGCTCAAGATTTCCAGCGTAAGTCCATGCATCAAAACTCTGAAGCTGAGTTCCGAGTGGAATTTGGCCGCGGAAATGGTTGTATGACAGATTCAAAACACTGAGAAAAGATAGATTGGACATGCTCTGAGGAATATTCCCATGAAGATTGTTGTGGGACAAATCAAGAGATTCTAGATTTTTCATCTCTCCAATATGCTCTGGTATCTCTCCTATCAAATAATTGTAAGACAAGTTCAGTGATTGTAACTCGATAAGCTTGAACAAGTGTACAGGAATTTCTCCTGATAGCTTGTTAACTGATAGATCAATACTTCTCACCAACTTCAAATTTTTCTGAAACTCTAATTGTTGACCCTTTGTGTGCAAATCAATTTTCATGAATTCTTCTGCACGTGGTATTTCAAAAACTCGTCCAAAAGCCGATCCAAAATACGCTCCAAAATCCTGTAAAACATGTTCAAGTTTAGGGAGAGACAAACTGGTCCTGTTGTATAGACAGTGAGGGATTGATCCTAAAAGTTCATTATGAGCAAGGTCCAACACCATCAACTTAGAGAGACGACATAGTTGTGGTGGAATGTTCCCTGTGAATTGATTGGATCTCAAACTTACAATTGATATATCTTGGGGCATCCATGCTTGTATACCTCCAAAGAAGTTGTTTCCTTCTAAATTGAGAAGCTCCAAAGACATGCAATTATTGAAAGTCGAAGGTATATCACCAAAAAAGCTATTATTATGTAGATCTAGCGCCTCTAAGAGAGGTAATGATGAACCCATCATTGGTGAAACTCGACCGGTCAACTGATTATTCCCCAAGTATAAGTAAGACAAGTTCCCCCATTTGTTCCAACAATCTGGAAGTTTTTGAGTGAGATAATTATTTGATAGGTCCAAATACTGTAAAACAAACTGATTAATCTCAGAGTGACACAATAAAGTATCTAAAGGTCCCAAGAAATAGTTGTAAGATAAATCCAAAGCTCGGACCCAATTTGATACTCGAGGAAGCCTTCCTCTAAATTTATTACATGACATAAATATTTTCAAACCTGTCTGCCAATTTTCTAACGATTCCACTCTATTTGAGGTGGCAGACTTATTTTGGCCAAGAATGTTTGGGAGCGGACCATTCAAGTCGTTAAAGCTAGCATCTAAATATTCTAATGAAGCTGATGTGTTTAGAAGATTAGAAGGAATGGAACTGTGAAACGAGTTATTAGATAGATCAAGGATAGTTAGGCTATCAAGCTGGCCAAGCCACTCAGGTATTGACCCCTTGAGTTTGTTGTTAGATAGATCTAACCGCCACAGATTTCGATAGCCTGAAAGATCTGGAATTTGACCTCTCAAATTGCATTGACTGAGATCAAATTCTTCGAAATGATCTTTGCTAAGATTGAACAACCAATTAGGTAATCCAAATGTAAAATCATTCAGACTAAGATCAAGATATGAAAGCGTGCTAAAATTGGCATGCTGGAAAGACAGAATAGAGGTGGTCAAATTACAATCAGCCAAATATAAACTCTCCAGACGCAGCGAGGCCAATGATTGAACCCAATTGGTTTCACTAGGAAGATGAATGCCACTGAGGCCGAGAAACGTCAGGGACGGAAGCCGAGAGAGCCAATAATGAAGATTATCAGCGTGGAGATGAATATTGTATGATAAACTCAGATAAGAAAGCTCAGAAGAATTGGGTAGCAAATGGGTATGAGTTGCAACAGAATTATTGATAGGCGCCATGCTTATGCGTTCAAAGTCATTGCCGCCCAAACCCAACCATCCGAGAGATTCAATAGCAAGTAAAGAAGACAAGTTGATTTCACCTCTCAGTGATTCTGAATGATTGTTGCTTATTAGACCAACAAGATCTTCGTAGTTCGACAGATCAAGAACTACGACTCTGTTGTTGGTATCACACGCAACTCCATACCATTGGCAGCAATCTGGGAGAGTGGACCAAGAAGAGAGGCGGTTGGAGGGATCAACAACGCCTTGTTTGAAGCTTAAAAGTGAACGTCGGTCCCTCTCATGGCAGCAAGTGATTGTGTTGAATCTCACTGCACATAGCAACGCCAACAGAATCAGAGACATTTGTGACGTCCGACGAAGAATCATCATGAAACTGTTTCTTGAAGTGGTGAAGCAGGGACCTAAACGGTTCCTTGAAATATTTATATAAGCACCTGTGGATTTTTTTTTTAATTTTAATTTTTTTTAAATTTACATGAAGTTTCATTTTAGTACTGTAAATTTAAAAAACATATTTTCAGTTATTTAGTTCTAAAACCATTAACAAAAAATAATAATATTGGGATTTTAAATATTAATAAGAAATTCTAAAATTTAATATAATTTTCAAAACAATCATATTTATTACAAAATATTATCATTTAAAACTAACGATTATTAGATGACTAAAACTATACTTTTTAAATTTAATTAAAGGACTAAACTAAAATTATGTATATAGTTAAAGCATTAGACATATTCTTTAGCCATTAATTTTTTTATAGAAAATTTTACATTAAATTGTTTTTTTCCTAATTAAAAATAAATTGCGTGATTTTTTTCCCTTCAGTTATTAAGACAAATTTCTCTTTATTCTCAAAATCTATAAAACTATGCCAAACAAAAACATAAAATACAAGAACTTGTTCTAAATGTTTTTGAAGATTTAGTTCTTCCCATTTTCATGATAAGTTGATTTTGAAGGTGGATGGGAGGTTTGCATGATTTAAAACAAAAAAATATTGAAGGAGAATGATAAAATTAAATCTGTTTTCTTTTTTTTGGGAGTAAGGCTGATAAAAGCACTTAAAAATAGAATGAAAGTTATAAAATTTTTGCAAAATTTAAAAGAATTTACATTAATGCTCAAAAATAGAAGGAAAAACTCTACAATTTTCTCAAAAATATTTGTATAGCTTACTCTTTTTATTTTTTTTAAAAGAGAATAGATGGAGATTGATATGAAGTTTTTTTTTATTTAAAAAAAAAGAGAATAGAAGGAGATTGATATGAAGGTTTATAAAAGCACTTAAAAATAAAATGAATATTTGTATAATTTCAGCAAAATTTAAGAGACTTTACATTTAGTTCTCAAAAATAGAAGAAAAATATCCTTTTAATTTTCTCAAAATACAAAATATATGTCTAAAGGTTACTTTCTTGATTTTATTTTCTTGACCAATTCACAGAAGTTTTCCAATATTTTTTCCAAGTCTTCTCACCTTTTTTTTTTCCCCTCCCAGTCTTTGCCTCAAATCCCGTTGCTTTTCAGTTATGACTTTTTTCTCAGGAAATTGCTATGAAATGGGTAAATAGTTAATACCCATCGAACACGAAACGCTACAAGTGATTCGCTATTCTTTGTGCAATTAATAAAATATTTCTAAACGCTAAAATATTAAGTTTAATTTTTTAAAAATAATAATAATTGGCATACAAAATTATTATGTGAGACCTAAGATTTTATTAAATTAGGATTAGAAGGTTAAAGATATTTTATAAAATTACGAGACCAAACTAAAATTTTATTTCAAGTCAGATGACTAAATATACTTTTTTTTACACCAAAGATTAAATATACACTCTTATAATTTTTCATCACTAAAATCTTCCCTGCCGAGTGAACCTGAAAGTATTTCCCAGCATGTGTTTTAATGTGTGTGTGTGTGTGTGTGTGTGTGTGTGTGTGAGAGAGAGAGAGAGAGAGAGAGAGAGAGAGAGAGAGAGATACTTCAATAAAGTTGATCGATTTCATTAAAGAAAAAGAAATGTAAATTCTGAAATATATGATATGAATTCTAAATCGTTGAGGGGGAAAAGACTATGAAGTCTGAATGTAAATACTAAAATTTGTATTTATTAGAAAAGGAATACTAGGGGAATCATATACATATCATGAAATTTGTAATGCTATTAACAAATTCGGTATAACAGTTAACAATAAGTTGTCTAAAAATTTTAAAAAATAACACTTTTGCGACTTTAATAACACGATTAACAAGTTCTATAATGCTATTAGTACAAAATAATATATTAAATATGAAATTTGATTTTTTTAACTTAAATATTATCCTCTTACTTTTAGACGTTAAAATGTTTATTTTGAACGAATTTTAATTATTTAATTAAATTGAACCGTTTGGTTTTATTAAGAATATTTGTTCCCTTAGAACCCAAACCATTCTAAAATAGAAATCTTGTTCTTCTTAAATAAATAATTAATATCTATATTGTTTTTTTTTGTGCTTTTTCCAAAATTATATTATATAAACTTAATTAGTCTTCATATATAATGACGTTTTCATATGTGTTTAACTTGCTTTTTGGCTGTGTTTAAGCTTTTTGAGGCCCTACTGATCGATCTTTATTATTTTATATAGCTTCATGAATTTTTTAAGAATCTTCAGCAGTTCCCATTGCTTTTGAATTACCTTTTCTCAAGAAATTGCTGTGAAATGAGTAATAATTGTATAATGCCCCGTCCACCGCCTTTTTGAATTGCTATGAACTACTCCTGATCAGTTCTCATTGCTTTTGAATTATTTGCTTTTATACTGAATTATACTAGCTTCGATCTCTAATATAAGAATTAGTTTGACTTTCATTTGGATTCTAAATATAAGACTCAAATCCATTTTATCTCTTATATTTATCTATTTATTTCAAAACAGTCATTGTAATAGTCACATATATTAAAGATTCTATCAAATCCTAGTTCTAGTAATTGGTATTCTAGGGAATTTAACTTATATTTATTACAAATAACTAACTAACAAACCTTTTTAATTTATTCAAATTAGTTAACTAACTTTTATACTTCTCCGGTCCTTAATATAAGACCTATTTAACTAATTTGATTAGATTAAAAAAGTTAGGTAAGTTAGTTAATTATAAGAAAAGTGACACATTTTTCCTAAAATACCATAATCATCTTTCTTAATACCCCTATCCCTCTTCTACTTGATTATGATTGAGGGAGTATTCATAGGAGTAATTTAGAAAAAGTTGATAAATATGATAATGGGTCTTATATTTAGGACCAAAACTAACTTAAGAATTGGGTCCTATATTAAGAACAGGAGGAGTATTAAGTACCGGATACAGTAAATATAAAAGGATTTGGAGACAATTATTCTCTTCAATTCATTGCTTCTTCCCCACCCATCATCCGCGCTCGAGTTTATATAATTAACAGCAAAATCTAAATGACACAAACAATTGGTAATCACAAGGGACAGACATATATTGACACGCCGAAGCTCGATTCAACTTTCCATGAATGTTACCCCCTCCATTTCGATTTATAAAAAAACACTTCCCCGGAAAAGGGCATGTTTCTTTTATACGAGACACTTTGAAGATATTTTTTTAAAAAATAAATTATATTTTTTACTTATTTATTGTTTTTAACTAATTTTCTGACCAACGTGTTTTGGTTAATTGTCTCTTATAATAAAGAGGGGAGGGAATAGTATTTTTGGCAATTGAGTATTTAAATGAATATTTCAAAGACGAAAGAGTACTTCAATTTATGGATTTTAAATAACACTCCTTTTTATTGCTAATATAAGAGCTAGTTGAGGGTTAAATTTAGTTCAAAATATAAAATTTCAGTTTATTTTGTCTCTTATATCATTTTTTTCCTAACTAATTTATCTAGCTTATAAGTTGATATAGGGTCTAATTTTACAGAGGATTATTTTGGGGGGATTACATCACATTTCTGAAAATTAACTAATTTATCTTATTTTTTAAGTCATATAAATTAGTTAAGCAGCTCTTATATTAAAAATTAGAAGAAGTAAGATTTATTTGTCATCAAAGTAATTGGATAAAACATCCTCAATTTCAAATGAATCGCCACCGTCGATTGCTGCGGCAAGGTATCCTGATTCCAGAGTGTCTGCATCCAGTACTTACTACAAAAGCTTATCGAGGTGTTGGTTTTGATTTTAAATATAAGACTCTAATTTATTTTATTTTTTAAATTTATAATTTATCCTCAAACCATACATATTTATTGCATATATTAAATTAGGGCTTTATATAGAAGTAATTTCAATTACAAATGATTAAAGGGAATATTTTAGATAAATAAAAAATATTTGTATAGCTTACTCTTTTTATTTTTTTGGGGTTAAGTTGCAATTTTGACCCTGATCTTATTTTTTATGTGCAATTTTACCTCTAATCTTTCAGGGGACTAATTTTGCCCTTGATCTTATTTTTCAAGTGTAATTTTATTCTTGATTTTTTTTCAGGTGCAATTTTCCTTCTACTTTTTCAGTGCAATTTTACCCGTCAGGGTGAAAATTGCACCCAAAAAAAATCAGGGTGAAAATTGCATAACTAAAAAGATCAAAATTAAAATTGCAATTGAGAAATAAGATTAGGGTTAAGATAATATCTTAACCCTTGTTGTTTTCTTCATCACCATTAAAAATATATAAACATGAGAAATAAAATGGATTGATGTCTTATATTTAATATCAAATTGAAAGTCAAACTAGTTTTCATATTATAATCAGGGCTTAATCTTCCTCAAATTTTCTTTGTTTGCTTGACAAAAGCCTTTCCGCCTTTTCTCAAAGTCTTCCGACCTTATTTTCCAGTCTTCGTACCTTATTTTCCAAGTCTTCATACCTTATTTTCCAAGTCTTTGCCCCAAATCATCACTTTATGCAAAGATTATCAAGTCTTCATCGTCAGTTGCTCTGGAATCGCAGATTTATACTTAATTCTTTTCTTTGATTAATGGAACCCACAGAGGAGCGTCCCTTCTTATCTGCTTCTGCGAAATTTCAATTCTTTTCCAAGCAATTTCACTACTTTCCAACTACACTTCTTTTAACTTCTATATACAAATCATTTCTAACCATCTAACTAAAATTAAGATGAGAAATTTAAACGATGGCAAAAGTTTTTATTCTTTTTTAACTTTACACAAAGTTTCATCTTGATGATTTAATTTTATAAAATATTTTTTAATCTTTCAACTCAGACACTGCACTAGTTTTATTAACCAAAAATGCCAACATCGAAATTTTAATAGTTGACAAAACATTCACAGATGCGGATATACTAAATTTGATTTCTTAAGATTACATTGATTGGCACAAAAATGATCATTATTCAAGATTAACTGTGTTAGGGTCAAGAACTGGGAAAAATGTTTTATAAAATTAAGAAACAAAAATGAAATCTTATACAAAGTTAAAAAATCAATCTGTATTTTTGCCTTGAATCATTAGCTATGTTGTGAATGAAAAATTTTCAAATCAATCCTTATTTAAAAACATGAATTGAAAAGATAATAAATACTCTCTTATACCTTACAAAAAATCATCATCCGTGTCAACTCCCTTTCAACTTTTTCCCCTCAAGTCTTTGCCCGTGAAATAAATGCCCAACCGAGTCATTATACATAATCATCAAGTTTTACGACCGTTTCTTTCTTTCTTATTTTTTTTTTTCCAATTCTTCTTTGCTTGTATGAAACGTGAAGTAGTCATCAACGTTACAAATATTTATCTTTGAAATAAATAGTCATATCTCACTGTTTGTTTTTTACTTGTCCACATGGTCTCTGTTTGTTCTGTGTCTTCCCCTGTTTGAGCTATATTCCCCAAAGTGCGTTTTAATATATATATATATATATATATATATGTATGTATATATATACACTTTTTAGTACTTCAATATAGTTGATCGTTTTCATAAAAAAAGAAAAAGAATGTAAATTCTGAAAGATCGTTTTCAGAAATAGTCATATCTCACTGTTTGCTTTTTCTTATGTTGTGCAGTTCTTTTGAAGAGGAGGTCCACAAAGCTTAGGATTTCCTATGTAACTGCATGCATCAAAATTTTGAAGTGGAGTCCCTAGTGGAAATTGTCCCATGAATTTGCTATATGACAAATTCAAAACACCTAGAAAAGACAAACTAGACATGCTTTGAGGAATATTAATTCCCATGAAGACTATTATAGGAGAAATCAAGATACTCTAGGTCTTTCATCTCTCCTATTTCCTCTGGTATTTCTCCTGTCAAATCATTATACGTCAAGTTCAATGATTGATTGTATCAGTTTGAGCCTGAATAACTGCTTAGGATTCTCCCAGATAGTTTATTTGCCGAAAGGTCAATACTCCGTATAAAGAATTGGCTTGTCTCGTATTCTAATTCTTGACCCTTTGTATGCAAATTACTTCTGAGTTTAAATGGGATTGCGAAGCCTTCTAATAATGGTAGACCAGCAGGTATTGTTTGCGTGATGAACAGATCATTCAAAGATCCTAAAACCATGCTGGTTAAATTGTGAAGGCAATAAGGAATTGCCCATAAAAGCTTGTTATGTTCGAGGTGCAAAACAATCAACTTAAGAGAGGCTACATTGCTGTGAAGGAGTGTTGCGTGTAAATTGATTAGATCTCAATATCACTACTGATACATTTTGCAGCATCCATTTTGGTATACTCCTAGAAAAATTGTTTCCTTCCAGATTGATGAGTAGTAAAGATTTGAAGTTCTGGAAAGTCGATGGCATATCTACATAAAAGCCATTATGATGTAAACCTAGTATCTTAATCTCATTCAATAAACCTATTGTTGGAGGAACTTCACTGCATAGGTTATTATATTCTAAGTATATGTAAGACAGGTATGGCAAATTGCCCCAACAATCTGGAAGTTCTCCAGTCAAAAAATTATTTACTATACCACAATCAGAACTGAAAAAGATCTTTTGAGTGTGAGTTTCTTTTTAAAATGACAATTAACTTGTAAAGAGAAAATGAAAATCTAAACTTTTGGATCATAAATCTAAATGTTGTTTTGAAATATCAACAACTCTTAAAAAAAGTTAAAGTATATTTTTAGCCCTTTAATTTTATGTAAGATTTTAATTTTGTACCTTAACATTATAAATTATATTTTTAGTTTGTTAACCCTAAAACTTTTAACAAAGAAAAAAAAATGATGATATTGAGATCTTGAATGCTAAAATAAGATTCTTAAATGTTAATATATGAAGTTTAATAACTATGATTGTTACAAAAAAAATTATCATATAAGATTTTAGTGATAAAAATATACTTTTTAAAGTTAAAGGACCAACTTAAAGTCTTGCATAAAATTAAAGAACCAGTTATGTAATTCTGCCTTTGAAAAATGAGGAACATGATATAAGGACACTTAAATATTTTAAAGATTGATTTGGGCATTTTAATTGTTTTAGAATAAAAGACTAACAACTTAATTTCTTTTAAACAGTTGAAATTAGTCGTTGCATTCATACATGGACGGAGCCTTAACTTGCATCATGCATTTGATTTAGGAAGCAACAAACAGAAAAATGAAATCATTACAACACTGCTGATGAATTTGTGTAGAAATAAAAGTTATTATGAAAAATAACTTTAGATTCAAATAGATAGAAGTATAGCTTTATAACCAACCTGGAGTTGCAGCATATTCCCATTCAGCGGAATTTTTGGAGCTTTATGGCCACAATAACATAGATTCGATCAACCACACCATTAAAAAATCGAAAATAAGAGTGCCTCCATGCTCTGTTCAGGACTAGTGAACCACAAACTACCCAGAATCCCACAGCAAAGCCAACTCCCATTCCAAGATACAATGACTTCAAAAAACCATCATCCTCATTTTCTTCAACTTTCTCTGTATTATCTGGTATTGTGCAGTTCTTTTGAAGAGGAGGCCCACAAAGATCAGGATTTCCGGCGTAACTCCATGCATCAAAACTCTGAAGCTGAGTGCCCAGTGGAATTTGGCCGCTGAAATGGTTGTACGACAGATTCAAAACATCGAGAAAAGATAGACCGGACATGCCCTGAGGAATATTCCCATGAAGATTGTTGTGGGACAAATCAAGAGATTCTAGATCTTTCATCTCTCCAATCTGCTCTGGTATCTCTCCTATCAAATAATTGTAGGACAAGTTCAGTGATTGTAACTCGGTGAGCTTGAACAACTGTACAGGAATTTCTCCTGATAGCTTATTAGCTGATAGGTCAATACTTCTCACGAACTTTAGAGTGTTCCCATACTCTAATTGTTGACCCTTTGTGTGCAAATCAATTTTCATGAATTCTTTTGCAGTTGTAAAGAAATTATTTGATACTAGACCGGGTAAAACATTTTCAAGTGAAGGCAAACTGGTCGCGTTGTGTAGACAGTGAGGGATTGATCCAGAAAATTCATTATTAGCAAGGTCCAATATCGTCAAGTTCAAGAGACAACATAGTTGTGGCGGAATGTTCCCCGTAAATTGATTGGATCTCAATTTTAGAATTGATATATCTTGGGGCATCCATGTTTGTATACCTCCAGAGAAGTTATTTCCTTCTAAATTGAGAAGCACCAAATACATGCAATTATTGAAAGTCGAAGGTATATCACCAAAAAATCTATTATTACGTAGATCTAGCGCCTCTAAGAGAGGTAATGATGAACCCATCATGGGTGGAACTCGACCAGTCAACTGATTATTCCCCAAGTATAAGTAAGACAAGTTCCCCCATTTGTTCCAACAATCTGGAAGTTTTTGAGTGAGATAATTATTTGATAGGTCCAAATACTGTAAAACAAACGGATAAATCTCAGAGTGACACAATAAAGTATCTAAAGGTCCCGAGAAATAGTTGTGAGATAAATCCAAAGCTTGGACCCAATTTGATACTCGAGGAAGCCTTCCTTTAAATTTATTAGATGACATAAATATTTTCAAATCTGGCTGCCAATTTTCTGACGTTTCCGCTCTAATTGAGGCGGCAGACTCATTTTGGCCAAGAATGTTTGGGAGCGGACCACTCAAGTGGTTGAAGCTAATATCTAAATAGTCTAATGAAGCTGATGCGTTTAGGAGATTAGAAGGAATGGAACTGTGAAACAAGTTATTAGATAGATCCAGGAGAGCTAGTCCATCAAGCTGGCCAAGCCACTCAGGTATTGATCCCTTGAGTTTGTTGTTAGATAGATCTAACCGCCACAGATTTCGAAAGCTTGAAAGATCTGGAATTTGACCTCTCAAATTGCATTGACTGAGACCAAATTCTGCGAAATGATCTTTGCTAAGATTGAACAACCAATTAGGTAATCCAAATGTAAAATCATTCAGACTAAGATGAAGAAGTGAAAGTGAGGTAAAATTGGCATGCTGGAAAGACAGAATAGAGGTGGTCAAATTACAATCATGCAAATATAAATCCTCCAGAGGCAGCGAGGCCAATGATTGAACCCAATTGGTTTCACTAGGAAGACGAATGCCACTCAGGTCGAGATATGTCAGGGACGGAAGCCGAGAGAGCCAATAATGAAGATTATCAGTGTGGAGATGAATATTGTATGATAAACTCAGAAGAGAAAGCTTAGAAGAATTGGGTAGCAAATGGGTATGAGTTGCAACAAAATTATTGATAGGCGCCATGCTTATGCGTTCAAAGTCATTGCCGTCCAACTCCAACAATTCGAGAGATTCAAGAGCAAGTAAAGAAGATAAGTTGATTTCACCTCTCAGTAGTTCTGAATGATTGTTGCTTATTGGATCAAAATAATAGTCGTTCGGCAGATAAAGGTAAACGACTCTGTTGTTGTGATCACAGTGAACTCCATCCCATTGGCAGCAATCTGGGAGAGTGGACCAAGAAGAGAGGCGGTTGGAGGGATCAACAACGCCTTGTTTGAAGCTTAAAAGTGAACGTCGGTCCCTCTCATGGCAGCAAGTGATTGTGTTGAATCTCACTGCACATAGCAACGCCAACAGAATCAGAGACATTTGTGACATCATGAAACTGTTTCTTGAAGTGGTGAAGCAGGGACCTAAACGGTTCCTTGAAATATTTATATAAGCACCTGTGGATTTTTTTAAAATTTTAATTTTTTTTAAATTTACATGAAGTTTCATTTTAGTACTTTAAATTTAAAAAACATATTTTCAGTTATTTAGTTCTAAAACCATTAACAAAAAATAATAATATTGGGATTTTAAATATTAACAAGAAATTCTAAAATTTAATATAATTTTCAAAACAATCATACTTATTACAAAAGATTATCATTTAAAACTAACGATTATTAGATGACTAAAACTATACTTTTTAAATTTAATTCAAGGACTAAACTAAAATTATGTATATAGTTAAAGCATTAGACATATTCTCTAGCCATTAATTTTTTTATAGAAAATTTTACATTAAATTGTTTTTTTTCCTAATTAAAAATAAATTGCGTGATTTTTTTTCCTTCAGTTATTAAGACAAATTTCTCTTTATTCTCAAAATCTATAAAACTATGCCAAACAAAAAACATAAAATACAAGAACTTGTTCTAAATGTTTTTGAAGATTTAGTTCTTCCCCTTTTCATGATAAGTTGATTTTGAAGGTGGATGGAAGGTTTGCATGATTTAAAACAAAAAAAAATTGAAGGAGAATGATAAAATTAAATCTGTTTTCTTTTTTTGGGAGTAAGGCTGATAAAAGCACTTGAAAATAGAATGAAAGTTATAAAATTTTTGCAAAATTTAAAAGAATTTACATTAATGCTCAAAAATAGAAGAAAAACTCTACAATTTTCTCAAAAATATTTGTATAGCTTACTCTTTTTATTTTTTAAAAAAGAGAATAGATGGAGATTGATATGAAGTTTTTTTTTTTTAAAAAAAAAAGAGAATAGAAGGAGATTAATATGAAGGTTTATAAAAGCACTTAAAAATAAAATGAATATTTGTATAATTTCAGCAAAACTTAAGAGACTTTACATTTAGTTCTCAAAAATAGAAGAAAAATATCCTTTTAATTTTCTCAAAATACAAAATATATGTCTAAAGGTTACTTTCTTAATTTTATTTTCTTGACCAATTCACAGAAGTTTTCCAATATTTTTTCCAAGTCTTCTCACCTTTTTTTCCCCTCCCAGTCTTTGCCTCAAATTCTTGTTAGTGGGTTCCCGTTGCTTTTCAGTTATGACTTTTTTCTCAGGAAATTGCTATGAAATGGGTAAATAGTTAATTACCCATCGAACACGAAACGCTACAAGTGATTCGCTATTGTTTGTGCAATTAATAAAATATTTCTAAATGCTAAAATATTATGTTTAATTTTTTAAAAATAATAATAATTGGCATACAAAATTATTATGTGAGACCTAAGATTTTATTAAATTAGGATTAGAAGGTTAAAGATATTTTATAAAATTACGAGACCAAACTAAAATTTTATTTCAAGTCAGATGACTAAATATACCTTTTTTTTTTAACCAAAGATTAAATATACACTCTTATAATTTTTCATCACTAAAATCTTCCCTGCCGAGGGAACCTGAAAGTATTTCCCAGCATGTGTTTTAATGTGTGTGTCTGTTTATATGTGTGTGTGTGTGTGAGAGAGAGAGAGATACTTCAATAAAGTTGATCGATTTCATTAAAAAAAAAAAAGAAATGTAAATTCTGAAATATATGATATGAATTCTGAATCGTTGAGGGGGAAAAGACTATGAAGTCTGAATGTAAATACTAAAATTTGTCTTTATTTGAAAAGGAATACCAGGGGAATCATATACGTATCATGAAATTTGTAATGCTATTAACAAATTCGGTATAACAGTTAATAATAAATTGTCTAAAAAATTTAAAAAATAGCACTTTTACGACTTTAATAACGCGATTAACAAGTTTTATAATGCTATTAGTATAAAATAATATATTCAATATGAAATTTGATTTTTTTACTTAAATATTATCCTCTTACTTTTAGACGTTAAAATGTTTATTTTGAACGAATTTTAATTATTTAATTAAATTGAACCGTTTCGTTTTATTAAGAATATTTGCTCCTTTGGAATCCAAACCATTCTAAAATAGAAATCTTGTTCTTCTTAAATAAATAATTAATATCTACATTGTTTTTTTTTGTGCGTTTTCCAAAATTATATTATATAAACTTAATTAGTCTTCATATATAATGAAGTTCTCATTGATCGCTCCCACATTTTCCTAAACACATATTGCAGAGTTTTTGGAATAAATAATGAAGCTTTTCTTTTTCTCTCTGTTTGTTTGTTGGGGTATACGTGTGTCATTTTTATGTGTTGAACTTGCTTTTTGGCTGTGTTTAAGCTTTTCGAGGCCCTACTGATCGATCTTTATTATTTTATATAGCTTCATGAATTTTTTAAGAATCTTCAGCAGTTCCCATTGCTTTTGAATTACTTTTTCTCAAGAAATTGCTGTGAAATGAGTAATAATTGTATCATGCCCCGTCCACCGCCTTTTTGAATTGCTATGAATTACTCCTCATCAGTTCTCATTGCTTTTAAATTATTTGTTTTTATCTGCTTTAAGACTGAATTATACTAGCTTCGATCTCTAATATAAGAATTAGTTTGACTTTCATTTTGATCCTAAATATAAGACTCCAGTTCATTTTATCTTTTATTTTAAAGCAGTCATTGTAATAGTCACATATATTAAAGATTCTATCAAATCTTAGTTCTAGTTACTGGTATTCTAGGGATTCAACTTGTATTTATTACAAATAACTAACTTAACAAATCTTTTTAATTTACTCAAATTAGTTAACTAACTTTTATATTAAATACCCGCAGTAAATGTAAAAGGATTTGGAGACAATTATTCTCTTCAATTCATTGCTTCTTCCCCACCCATCATCCGCGCTCGAGTTTATATAATTAACAGCAAAATCTAAATGACACAAACAATTGGTAATCACAAGGGACAGACACATATATTGACACGCTAAAGCTCGGTTCAACTTTCCATGAATGTTACCCCCTCCATTTCTATTTATAAAATACACTTCCCTGGAAAAGGGCATGTTTCTATTATAGGAGACACTTTGAAGATATTTTTTTAACAAAAATAGATTACATTTTTTTGCTTATTTATTATTTTTAACTAATTTTCTGACCAATGTGTTTTTTTTGGTTAATTGTCTCTTATAATAAAAAAGGGAGGGAATAGTATTTTTGGCAATTGAGTATTTAAATGAATATTTCAAAGACGAAAGAGTACTTCAATTTATGGATTTTAAATAACACTCCTTTTTATTGCTAATATAAGAGCTAGTCAAGGGTTAAATTTAGTTCAAAATATAAAATTTCAGTTTATTTTGTCTCTTATATCTTTTTTTTCCTAACTAATTTATCTAGCTTATAAGTTGATATAGGGTCTAATTTTACAGAGGATTATTTTGGGGGGATTACATCACATTTCTGAAAATTAACTAATTTATCTTATTTTTTAAGCTATATAAATTAGTTAAGCAACTTTTATATTAAAAATTAGAAGAATTAACATTTATTTGTCATCAAAGTAATTGGATAAAACATCCTCAATTTCAAATGAATCGCCACCGTCAATTGCCACGGCAAGGTATCCTGATTCCTGAGTGTCCGCGCACAACAATAAACATCACTCACAATCCATGCTGCTGTATTAAATACATGCATGTGACATTTTCTCCGTTTAATTTCACCCATATAATATTTTGCACCTTAAAGTCTTTTTTTTTTTCCATCTCTCCTTACTGAAGGATAAAGTTGTCAAGCAAATAATTAATATTTTATTGAAATTATAGAATGACCATTGTTTGGAAACAAAGCTAAGCACCCGAAATTAATAAAACTTACAGCAACAAATTAACATAAATTTAGTTTGAAAGATTTTTTTTGAGCCACTTTAAACTTTATAATATTACTCCATCTGGTACTTACTACAAAAGCTTATTGTGATTTTTATTTTGATTTTAAATATAAGACTCTAATTTATTTTATCTTTTAAATTTATAATTTCTCCTCAAACCATACATATTTATTGCATATATTAAATTAGGGCTTTATATAGAAGTAGTTTCAATTACAAATGATTAAAGGGAATATTTTAGATAAATAAAAAATATTTGTATAGCTTGCTCCTTTTATTTTTTTTAGGTTAAGGTGTAATTTTGACCTTGAATTTATTTCTCATGTACAATTTTACCTCTAATTTTTTCAGTGGACTAATTTTGCCCTTGATCTTACTTTTCAGGTACAGTTTTATTCTTGATTTTTTTGGGGTGCAATTTTACCCATCAGGGTCAAAACTGCACCGAAAAAAATCAGGGTGAAAATTGCATAACTAAAAAGAGAAAAGTTAAAATTACAACTGAGAAATCAGATTAGGGTTAAAATAGTATCTTAACCCTTGTAGTTTTCTTCATCACCATTAAAAATATATAAATATGAGAAATAAAATGGATTGATGTCTTATATTTAATACCAAATTGAAAGTCAAACTAGTTCTCATATTATAATTAGATTGTGTATATATATTTGTATAGCTTAATTTTCCTCAATTTTTTTTGTTTGCCTGACAAAAGCCTTCCCACCTTTTCTCAAAGTCTTCCGACTTTATTTTCCAAGTCTTCCAACCTTATTTTCCAAGTCTTTGCCCCAAATCATGGTCTATCACTTTATGCAAAGAGTATCAAGTCTTCGTCTTCGGTTCCTCTGGAATCGCAGATTCATCCTTAATTCTGTTTTGTGATTAATGGAACCCACAGAGGAGCGTCCCTTCTTATCTCCTTCTGCGAAATTGCATCAACTAAAGTTCGCGAATGCTTTTACGGTCTTTCAATTCTTTTCCAAGCAATTTCACTACTTTCCAACTACACTTCTTTTAACTTCTATATAGAAATCATTTCTAACCATCTGACTAAAATTAAGATGAGAAATTTAAACGATAGCAAAAGTTTTTATTCTTTTTTAACTTTACACAAAGTTTCATCTTGATGATTTAATTTTA